GTAAGTCTTTTGACAATGCCCTTTGCCTTAGTTTTAAATATGCCTGTTGATAGAGAACTTGACCTTTGACCTGCTTTCACGTTTCTGAGCTCTGACGAGATACCTTTTCACAATGCTTTACTTTTTCAAGGCCCGTGCTGCTTTATTTTTACAAGGCCTGAGGCCTATATCGGGTAAAGGCCCTTTTATACTGCCTGAATCCCAGTCTACTGCAGCACCAGGAAGCATAGAGTACAGTATACGCTGTACACTATGAATCTACACTCAGCAGATGGCCGAGCAGATTTAGAGAGCTCAGAATGCCATGATAGCTTCTAAGAACAAACATAGTCGGGCTACTAAGTTTCAGATAGGAGAACGAGCCTGGGTTAAGTTTTCAGAGATCACACCAGAAGAGAATGTCTCTAGGAAACTGATGCCACAATACTTCGGACCATCATGGATCCTGGACATAGTTGGATCTCATCTGGATGGCACATTGTACGTCATTGCTGTTCCCCCTTACTTACGCACATACCTTGTCTTTCTCGCCTCCAAACTCCTACCTTTCTCAGAGACTGATCAATTTCCCTCTCGAAGTTCAATGCTGCCCCCTACCAAGGTGGCCTTCCGACATCACTTGGACCCTACAGCGCTGGTTCACTAGGACCCTGCCAGCGAGTTGTCTGCTCTTACGAACGGAAGCTGAAGGGAAAGCAGCAGATTGAAAAAAGAATTCTCAAAGGACTTGAGGGGAGGGAGTGCAAGGATTCAGGACCTCGGCGATGCCCCAAAGAGGCCCTGGCCCGCCCTAAGTGAAGGCGGGCCATGAAAAATGCAGGGGAGCCTCAGAAGAGGCCAATGTGATAAAATGGGGGCCCGGGTAGCTGCAGTGCATGCAGCACCTTCACAGCATCTCCAACTAACTGGTAGGCCCCGTTGGTCGAAGATGCTGCACATGCTGGGCCTGGGTGCACCTTCCAGAAGGGGTCTGCTCAGCCTGTCCAGCCAGCACAAAAGGCTGGAGGGTGCAGCCTCCAACACATTCGGGCATTGTGCTGATGCAGCAGTGCCGAGCGCTGAGCGCAAAGAGGAGGCTGCACGGTGCCAGCAAGGATGAATGGGGGCCGGCAGCCACAGGCAAGCTGCTCGGACCATAGCTGAGTGGTGGTGTAGCAGAGGGCCTTAGAGGGAGAAGGGCTGTGGGGAAGAAGAAGGAGAAGAGAGCAGTGTGATGAGGCGCGTACCTGGTGACGACAAAGGCAGGCTGCTCAATCAGAGTCTTCAAGCGGCATTGGGCTGACATCGTGTGGAACCTGTTTTAGCATAGTAGGTGAGGTTGATAGGAATGTTTGTCAATAGTCTGGGCGGATCGCTGCCAATAGAAAGCTACATTGTTGTTGCATTGGCGATTGGAGGCGTTGGGAGGGCTTTCAAATACCAAGAGACTTCAATGCTTGTTCCTATTTGGTGTGATCTCGCTTTGCTTTCTGCCGTCAGTTTCGGCTCAATGATACCTGGTCAACTGTGAAATGTTGCAATTTGGTTTATTGCTGTTCGCATTGCTTATTTCCTTGCTCTGCGGCGAGTCTGTGGTTCAAAACTTCAAGATCAAAACAAAAAGGTCAGTTTGACTCTGCCCCTTGCATAATAACCTCACTGTGAGACCCCCTCCACTTGCATAACTGTCCCTCCTCAGGGAGTCGTAAAGATTGATTCAGATCTCAAATAAATATATACTAATCATTTAATAAATTAAAATAATGTCAATTTGTCACATCTATCAACTCCAAGAGCACACTTTGCAAAACAATAAAGAGATGGGTGGTCCTTGGGGACATCCATTAAAATTGGAACAATACAGACAAGATTAGCATGGCCACTCCACAAAGGATGACACACATAAATTGAGACATCGTCCGAACTGGAAAAAAAAAGACGAGAGAGAAAGTAAAAAAAAAAGAGAAGAGTAGATGGTATATATATACATATGCGTCACAGTGCCTCGTTTGTTGTCCTCTTCTGCCTACGGTTTACCAGGCAGCTCTGTTTGACGATATATACATATGCATATTTAGTATGTACTATTTAATATTTATATATATACCATATTATACATAGTATTATGTACATGATGTACAACGTACACAGTACACAGTGCATCAAAACAGTGGAGCTTTAGCATTGCACAAATAGTCTACTGCAGAACCTGTAATATTGGAGGCAGGCATGGTGTACAAGCTACAAATGGTAGACGTGAAGCGCACCATGCACAATGAAAACAAGCAGGGAAGAACAAACTTACCTACCGTCACTAGGAGTACTCTGTACTAAACCTCATCCCAACATAGAAAAAAGAAAGTACATCGTCACGACTTAGTGTGAGAAATACCTGGTTCCTTAGCTCAATCCAATCCAATCAATATTCAATCAAGAGCAGCTTGTAGCTGCTACCTGAAAAGTCAGAAAGTGGCAAGGATCCAGTCGGGTACCGGCTCAGATCTTTCGACATACTGAATACAAACGTGGTGAGCTGAGAGCTAGCTTACTTTCCTGAACACAATTGTTCTGAGCTACCTGGGCAATGCCATTCAACGTGTGTGCATGCTGCCAAAATAAGACCACATAAAATAGTCTTTCCCAAACACCCTCATAAAAGCAAATCATCAGAAGAAGCGCAAGGGCCCCCACATCTGTGAGATTGGGCAGGAAGTTCCCATTACTCCATCGCATGTGTGCTTTAAACAATGACCATAGCAACCCCTTCTCCACCAGGAATGCGTGTGTGTGTGTGTGTGTGTGTGTGTG